AACAACCTCTTAGAGTAGTTCTTTACTAGGTTGGCACAGGTTTCTTGAGGGATTTTGACACCAATCATACAACAGCAATGATGAAAGATTGTAGCCAAGGCAGCAGAGCTCTGAATATAGCTCTTGTCTGACACACACACACACACGCACACACACACACACCGGCTGCTCGATTATGGCAAAAATCATAATCACGATTATTTTTGGTCAATAATTGATATCACGATTATTAAATACGATTATTCATTGACTTTGAAAACATCCATTTATTGAACTTTAAAACAAATAATAATTTGAACATTATCTTTTTAACTGTTGATTACCCTGAACGTATAATTCAACTGAAAAGGCAATACAAAAATTAATTAAATAATATCAAAAATAATAAATACCAATAAACAAGATCAACAAATATTTTGGAGCGCACTTCCACAAGCTACTAAACATATATAAATATGATAAATAAATATAAATTAGACTCAAATTAATTACATTAAATATGTTGTCACTGTCAAAACCTAGCAAAGCTAAATAATTGTTTTTTTCGATGTTGTTTTTGTAATTGTAGCAGGCCAAAATCGTAGTTGCGATTAAAATACACACACACACACATTTTTGGGCTAACACAGTTCTGTACTGTTATGCTGTTATGTTCAGTCATTGTTCTTATGTTGAACATGAATACATTTACTTTGTAAGTAATTATGGGTCTAGGGAATAGGTCTTAAATTCGATTCAAAGTGGTCTTAAAAAGGTCTTAAAAAGTCTTAAATTTGAGTTGGCGAAACCTGCAGGAACCCTGACTACAGCACCTTGGTTTTGGTGTCCTTTAGGAACTGTTGGACCAATTTTTATGTGTGCTTTGGGTCATTGTCTTGTTGGAAGACCCAGGGACGACCTAAGCGAAGACTCAGAGCAGATTTTTTCATATTATCCCTCAAAATGTCAACATCATTTAAATGTTTCATGATGCCTTGCACCCAAACCCAAACAAGGCTCCCTGTGCCTGAGGCTGCAAAACAGCCCCTCAGCATGATGTGTTCTTAGGGTTGAAGGCCTCTCCCTTTTTTTGCCAAACATAAGCAACATCCATGTGCCCAAACAGTTCCAGTTTAGTCTCATCAGACCAAAGCACAGACTTACAAAACTCATCTTTACCTTTCAAATGTTCAAGGGCAAACCTCAGTCTGGCTCTGATATGCCGCTCTTTGAGTAAAGGGGTTCTTCTGGGACGATGGCCCTGAAGCCCACCACGATGAAGAGCCCTCACAACTGTGTTCCTTGAAACATCAACTCCAGAAGAGGCCAGGTCAGCAACAATCATCTTGGCAGATGTCCGGGGATTCTTGCTGACTATTTTCCTCTCCAGAGTTCTTGAAATCTTGCACTTTCTACCACGCCCAGGTTTGTTTCTTACATAATTTGTCTCCTTGTACTTCGCAATGATGCAACGTACAGCAGTTCTAGACACTGTGAAGCGCTTGGAAATAACAGTAAAGCCTTCCCCCTTATCATGAGCCTCCACTATCTTCTTTCTGAGCTCAAGACTGATTTCCTTTGTCTTTGGCATGGTGAGTAGTAGTATAGTCAGGGGTGCACATCACTTTTTTGCCCTGGTTCTCAAAGGAGCACCTGGAGTTGTTGCTTGGTGCTCATCCTTAAAATGAAATAAACCGTAACTTTCGAGGGGGTCTTGACTTTATTTGCCAGACACACGGCACTGAACACACATGCAGAGGTGAACACAGAACACACATGCAACATTAGCACGACCAGTAATCCTACAAGCTGTCATCACTACCCTCCTGACTGTTCTCCTCACTGTCTTCCTCTCTGTCAGACATGGTAGCTGATGATGTAGGCCTACTTCTTTTCTCTCTGGTTGAGTCTGCCATTAGCTGCTTGCATCCACAAGTCAGCAGCTGGTTTTGGGTCGAAAGTCTCTGTTGTCATCTTAGACAAGTGGATGTAATCAAATAAGTATGTGAACATAAGCAATAACCTACCATAGCCAATAACAAATGAGTGTAACTTATTTTATTTGTGTTGTTCATTCATATCTTATTTTACCCTAACTAGGATAATTTTTGGTTACCGTCCCATAGTATTCATGTGAAATGATTTTCAGACCTGTTTATCCCAATAATTATAGAAGGAGTGCCTTGGAAATATATGTGTTTATACATTAAATTGTGACCAAAACCGTTTGAACTTAGACTAAAGTGAACTTTCTAAACACTCAAGAGTCCTTTACCTCACTGAGCTGTGTTATCAGCCTCGTCAGTCTGAACTGGAGAGGAACCTCCCTCCACATTATTGTAGAAACATCTTCTTCTTATATCCGTTAGAGCACACCCAGATTCTAATAACAACAGCGCCGGTACCAAAGTGCACCTCCTCTCTTCCCTCGCATTTTGGCTGTGAGCCTGCGGGTGCCAGATAACCAACATCCCCCATTGTCATCACTTACTGGTGCGCAGGTGCGCATGTGCAGCCCCCTGATAGTCCCCTCTCAATAAGGTAAATTCAAGTGCTCTGTTTCTTGGAGTCCTTTATGCTGATTGAATGGCTCCAGGTGTGTCTTTGAAGCTGATTGGTTGATAAGGTGGTGGTTTTGAAAAGCTGATTTGATTGATAGTGTGTTTTGAAAGCAAAATTCACCATGGGGGCTAATATTTTTTTGACCAACCCATTTTTCACTATATTGATATAAGCAGCCTAAAACGGGTATTTTATTTTCAAAATGTACCAAAAAGCTACTAAATAGCCTGTGAATGTTTGATTATATCTAAGTTTTATCAATACTGGAAACATTTGGGAAGAATTTTAAGGAAAATGTCCATAACCCTGGGGCCTAATAATTTAGCCTCAACTGTATCTATGATAGCTTTTAGTAAATCCTCATTTACATGAACATACACATATGACAATGTGCATAGCAATCCAAGTAATGAATAAACAAGACAAAAAGTTTACTAGGTTGTACTACAAAATAGCTTCAGATTTTAGAGTGTGTATAGGCGCGTTCCACACCCGCATTAACTTTTCCCCAACTTTAAGTTCCCGAATATACCGTTCCAAAATGTCGCGTTCACCATCAAAAAGAGCCGAACTAAAAATAGTTCATGAGAAGCTTTTACCCCCTTTTTCCGTCCCCTGCCTAGAGAGCAGGGACTTTCCGTGGGAGAAAAAAGGTTCCTATTTCTGTTGGTCTGGGCGGATTGCAAACCAAGCCTCGTAAAACTCCATGAAAGTTTTTGTGAAGCCGCCCATTTTATTATCTTCTATTAGCATTATTTACATTAGCCCGAGCGTCACAGACGCAAGAAGACTAACTTATGGGCAACACAAATAAAATATGGGAAGCGAGGTGGAGATGAGGAAGGTATCGGCATTCTGGCCGATTTAAGCTCGGAAGGCTTCAGTAGAAGCTGCCTGGGAGTCCCAGCAGCTCTAACTGAAAGCCAGTCCCCAATCCCGGGGACTTCCAGGTGGCAGTATACGGCGTGAAGTTGTTTGCGGCCTCAAAGTAAATCAGAAGAAGAAGAAGTGACGAAAGCGGCTTCATTTGCCTAATCCTCCCTCAGGGACTTTTCCGGTCTGGACAGCGATCCGTGTACTTAGTTCATGAGAACTAAAGAGTTCTCATAACTAAGTTCTGATGAACCTCTTGTGGGAAAAGTACTGCGGTTGTGAAAGCGCCTTATGTGTTGTGTGTGTGTGTGTGTTAGTGTGTGTGTGTGTGGTTGTGGCTTTGAGGGAGTCTCTATATATCATTAAAACCCTACAAACACAAAAACTCCTGTAACCTTGAACCTCACAGTACTCAAGTGACTGCAGTGAGGCGAGAGTATGTATGTGTGTGTGAGAAGTTAAAATCAACATGGTCAGTCTGTATCACATAACCCCTGGGGAATCGACAATCAATAATGCAGCCGCGGATTGCAATAATCCACTCTGGCTCACACACACACACACAACCACACACACCACACAACCACACCACACACCACACCACACACAACACACACACACCACACACACACACACACACACACAACACACACACACACACACACACACCACACACACACACACCACACACACACATCCACAACACACACACACACACACACACACA